GTTCATATTCCGTGCCGAAGGCATGGGATTTAATATGAACCCGTGTGTGTAATTTATTTACGGAATCCGTTATACAGTATCGGTATAAATAACAAATCTAATAAATTTGGAAAATAAGATTCCGTTAAACATAATATGGCTTTTTTGTTTATTAAATCTGTTATATCTGTTATAATTTATGTATTAAAAGTTTGGTTCTTTGCAATTTGTCCGTTATATCCATAGTTGACTGTACACTTTTATCCGATTACGTGTAATTTTATTACTATCGTTATATATATTAAAATCATTCAATTGATTTTTTATGCAATATAGTATATAGTTTGCATTATACAAATATACAATTTTTAAACTATATAGAGAGAATTTAAGTTTGGATTCAATAAAGTAATAATCAAAAATTTTATTAGCACATCTTTGAAAAATAATAAATTAGTTAATCTATAATTTCTAAATAAATATATTATATATATATATTTTTTTTTTAAAAAAAAAAACTTATATTAAGTCATTTCTATCGCCAGGATATAATGGCCAAGTTGTCCAAACTTCAGAATATTTGTGAAAAACCAACCTTCTTCCCAATCGATCATTAATTAAAACTTTTTTAAGAGTTTCACTTTCCTTTGCATATTGAGTAATAAAATCAACTTGTTCATTATCTACACCCAATATACCGAATACACTCAAAGTTTGTATAGGAGCTCGACATTTTTTAAGAAAAGATTCTAAATTCCAAGGTGTATTTTGGAAGGCTAATTTAAGGTTAATTAAAGTAGTAGGAAGAACATTAGGCAATAATGATAAGAAATTACTCGCATCATAAATTAATAAAGTTACAGATAAACGTTCCAATAGAACCAATTTTGATAATAAAGTCAAGAAATGAGTAGCGGAAGATTGTTTGATATCAATTTCGAAAGTTTTAATGTTTGGACAAAATTTTGAAATGGAATCTAATATTTTTGGGGATGAATCACTCATGAATAGTTCATTTAAATTACCATTGGCTGTTTCAATTGCTGATTCCAAAAATTCTTGTGTTGTTTCGCATTTTCTAACAAGTAAAATTTGAAGTTTGAACTCAGCTTTCTTCAAAGGCATCCAAGTAAATGATGTCAATCCTTTACAATTAATGAAAGATAAAAAATGTATATTTTTACAAGATACTAAAGCATCAAGTGCAATACCACTAAATTGGACGTGTGAAAACTCTACGCGAATCAATGAATCGGATTGATATTGTAAGGCTGATATGGCAGGTGCAATATGACCAGAACAATCTAATCTAAAATATTGTAAATTAGATTGTGATTGTATAAGATTCACAAGTTGTAGATCCATAACTTGTAGACGAATATCTAATTCTCTAAGATTTTTACATAAATTAGGTAAAGTTGCAACAAGGGTAACCATATTCTTGAAACGACCAGATTCTGTAGTATAAGCAAAATTAAGGTGAAGTACACGCAATTTAGATAATAGATTAGAATGAAGAGTAAAGATAGAAGGGGATGGAATGTCAGAGATAGAAGGTTTTCTCCAAAGAGTTAATTGTGTAAAATCTAAATCTTGACGAAAAAATAATTTGCATAAAGTTTCTGAAAGTAAACTTTTTTTATCGGCCTCAATAATTAAACGATTCTTATCTTTTGAATGAAAGAACCAATTTTTAACGGATACATCCAAACCCCAATTATCGAATATCTTTAAATATGAAGGATAATTAAATAGAGGATTTGCAGTAGTAATAGATATATCGATTCCATTCTCTTTAAGTAAAGATTTTTCGGTATCGTTCAAACAAGAAATATAGGTATTTATTATAGATATAGATCTATATTCTTCTACCCAGAAATAATCTTCAAACCGAATGGAGAAAGGAGCACGCCATAATAAACTAACAACACGTTGACACCAAAGTCTATTAACCAATAAACAAGAATGTAGAAATTTCGTATCATGGATATCATTGCAAAAATAAGAAAAAATGTGGTCAAGTATTTCAGGAGGTAAATAACTGGGTACAAGATTTGATTCTTTAATAGAAGACGTCATTATTTTTATTTTTAATAAGTTTTATTTTTAACTTAAAATTTAGAGTTACGTAACTTTAGCTTTAGTGCTAGTTTTAACTCTTTAATGTTAGTGATAGGAAAAAAAAAAAAAAAAAAAAAAAAAAAACCGAGCATTTAATCCAGTAATCTGTGATCGTTTTTATTTGATTACCTACCATTTTTGTGAGACCAAATCATTTCCCCAATGCGGAGGTTGACGTTAATGTTTACGCTATTGCAGTTATGCAACTACCCCAGTAGCACCGACAGATTTTCACTGATCGACGCCAATCAGATTTGATCAAACAAGACATTATATTATGGTTAGTTTATGATCTTATGATCGCATCGGAGCTCTTTTTATACCAAAATTTAGCAAGAAATTTTTTTTGCTAATGCACAGTAAGTAGTTTCATATATAAAATTTTGAGTTATTTGCTATTTTTTAAAGTTTTTTTTTAAAAAAAACGCATGATTTTCACGTTACACCTGATCTTAAAATCTAATTGGTCAATTTATGTC